GGGGGTATCAGGAGAAAGAGAGTGAGGGCAAGTATGAGTGTGTGACTTGAGAGGAAGTGAGTGCGTGCGAGAGAGATATACGGGTAATAGTAATAATAATAATAGGTGGGTAGGGTAAAAAAAGTTCTGTACCGGTTTGATGACTAGGGGAACTCGTCTTCGGTTTCGTGCAGGACAGAGAGAGAGAGAGAGAGAGAAGAGAGAGAAAGAGAGAGGATGAGAAGAGCAGGCAGGAATAAGAAAGGAAAGACGTTCGAAAGAGACGCGCGCTGCGCAAAACTTGCCAGGTCCCTTCTTTTTCTTCTCGGTTTTCGATAAACCAAGTCAGCGTCTTTTTTTCCTACTTTCTTTCTTTCTCTCTTTCTTTCTCTTCTTGACAGGGAAAGAAGACGCGAAGAGCAAGAGCAAGGGACAGGAGAGAAGAAGTAGAAAGCAGGCAAGATCGCGGTGTGGATGCCCCCCAACAGGTAGCAGCGACAGGCGTGGGGTGGGGGGGGGGGCGCGGGTTAAAAGACCAGGCAGAACAGGGGGAGTCGATATTTCAAGCAAGATTGTGGGTGGAAGGGGAGGGGGTGGGATTGGGCCCACGGTAGGATCTCGAGTGGATATGTAGCGGCAAAAAAAAAAAAAAAAGGAAATGTATGGGCCTTCTTGGTCCTTGGATAGGGGTGTGAAGGTGAAGTTGGGACGCACTTTGGCGGCAAGTATCTTATGGAAGTGGCCCCAATGAATATGAAGAATCTATGAACTTGATCCGTCCTCATTGCAGTCACTGCACTCGCAGTCTCTCCGTACATGCTAATCTATACTACAGAGGACGTCAACGGCTCTCGGAGATGAGGCAAGCAGATTGCTCTGCCTCTCTCTTTTGTTTTCTTTTCTTTTCTGTTTTTTTTTTCTTTTTTTCTTTTTTTCCCTTCTCGTGCAAGTGCTCTCGGAGGAAATGATGGTTTTTTTTTTTCTGCTCTGTACATCGTAATAGTCTGTATGCACTCCCGTATTAGTGTGCAGCCACCAAAAAATATATATGTATATATGTGTATATATATGTACATATGTGTATATATATATGTATATATATGTATATATAATAGAGGCAATCCGGAGACGGAGAGAGTGTGAGATGTGAGCAGATGCACTACCCCTCTCTGCATCTGAAGCTGCCAGCTGCCTGTTTCTCTCTTCCTACGCGGCGGTTCCTGAGATGGAAGCCACAGAGCACACGCAGAGAAAGCACCACCAATTCATGGGAGCAGATTTTCTCAACACAGCAAGGGGGGGGGGGGTCACAACGAGAGAACCGGAGACTGGGAAAGGGACGAAAAGGGAAGAACAAGGGGGCGGGGAGGGGGTGTGCGACGACGTAGGCAGCACCGTGGAATTGCTGATGACAATGGAACCCCGGCGCACCAAGGCTTGACAGGGGTCCCGCTCTCATTTGATTAAACGGCCAATGGAGGCATCCGTCGAGAGGGTCCCCGACGAGGACCAACTGCCCAATGATGTTCTTGGCAGCACTAGCCCCACGCACCCAGGGATTGGGATGTCGTGTGGGAGAGAGACGCCGACAGAGAGGTATCACTCCGTACTCGTACTCCACGGTAGGCAGACGTTTTGCCCCCCTATTTCCCTGCGCAGCACTCGTACCCGTACAGATTACTCACGGAGAGCTCGTACACTAGTTCCCCTCGGTCTGCACCTGGTCACACGCGGTTTGGCGGTGTGGGTAAGCCATGGGTCTCCCATAGCCCCTTGTATTTCTCGAGGCGCCAGTTGGACCACAGGCTTGGGCTCCCTGGTGGTTTCCCGCGCACACGCACGCACACACACACACACACACACACACATACGCACACACACCACACACACCACACACACCACACACATACACACATACACACAGAGACACACACACACACACACACACGCAGAACACGCGCCCAACGGCCAAGTGGATTCCACTTCGGTACGTACCCATGGGAGCCAGCCTTGATTTGGCCGTCATGTCGCGCCCTGGTCAGACTCCCCTAGTCAGACGCCCTGGTCAGAGTCCCCCTCCCCATTTCGATTGATGCGATGAATAGATAAAATAAAATAAAAAGTCTTCAATTCTGTCAGTCAGCCAGCTCACCACCACCGATAGTCGCGCGCATTCCGTCCAAGCATTATAGACGTCAACCCGTACCTACCCTCTCCGCCTTCCTGGACCCGAGATGGCGCACCGGTCGGAGAGGCTGCATCGAGCTGTCGTGACTCCCGAGCAGACATCGGATCGGTTCCGTCACTCGCCGTCATAACAGGTAGGGGGAGAGAGAGAGAGATAGGTACGTGGCTAGCGCGCAGCCCGATGGGGTTGGTGGTCGCGGTATTACTCCTCGTGCCAGTGTCGGTGCTGGTACTCCGTCCTCTGTACTCTGCGTACTCCGTACTCCGTACATTGCAACGGTCAGCTCATAGCCGTAGCGACTCTGTACTCGTACTTGTACGGCCCGGGTAGCTGTCGACTAGGCCCCTTCTCCGCAACGCCTTCATCTCCAAATGGACGCGTGCACCGCGAAAGGTTTAGCGTCGTTGGTCCGGTAGCTTTGCTCGTCTCCACCGTTGTTGTCGGCTCGGCCGTTCACATACCGCCCTAAATTGTCGGTCACCTTTCAATTTCTTTTTCCTCCTCCTTCTTCTTCTTCTCGCTCTCTCAGCCTATTCTTCTCTCGGGGTGGGGGTTGAGAGAGAGGGAGAGAGGGAGAGAGAGAGAGAGAGAGAGAGCTTTTGGGAGGGTGTGGTGGCTTGGCCGCCATCATTGGATTGAACAGGACAGTGAGCTTTCCTGACGAACGTCGGATGGTGTATCTCGGATGACGTCGATTCAACCAGCCGGGGGGGGGGGAGGCTTGAAGCCCGCAGCATGACATGGCCAGCCTTGCAGACGTTGCGGTGGCCGGTAAACCTACCTCTACTTCGTACTCGGTATCATCTCGAATGCCATGCCTCGTCCCTTCTGAGACAGGCGAGCCTGTCCTGGATATCCCTGGTACGCGTTGATTCCTGGCCCATGCAAGGCTGGGGGCGACCTGGGGGCTGTCATCAAAGCCTCGTGTGGGCGTCGAAATTTCTCGCTAGGCCTCGCCGTTACATCGTATGGCCACTCACCCCCCCCCCCCCCCCCCCCCCCCCCACTTCCACTCGAATGATGATGGTACGGGTTGGCCCCACCCTCTCTTCCGCCCCATGCGGGCGCCACAGCCACTGGTGAAACACCCACGCACAAGCTAATATCTTTGTTAATATACGTGCCCAACCGTGTGTGTGTGTGTGTGTGTGTGTGTATGATGAGGATGAGGACGAGGTACATACTCTCGTACCGTACTTTTGAATGATATGCCGTGTTCTTTCCCTACGCATACTCACATGTTGATACTTTCGATGGGAGAAAGACTAATATGTACAGCCGGCGATGACGTCTAAACCCAACCCCCCCCCCCTCCCCTCCATCTGGAGCCGTCTGGAGCAGACTTGGTCGCAGAGCGTTATTTTTATTCTTATTTTTTATTGATTTTTTACTTTATATCATCTTGAGAAGTATCTTGGGCAATAGTCGCAGTGTCGAAGACATACAATCGCGTGGCAACCTTTTCTAGAGCGGGTCCAACCTTCGACCTGACATTGGCGGATGGAGATGGCCCCTCATGCCGATTGATGCCATGGTCGCGGTGTTAAGTGTGCATCCGTACTCCGTAATCTTCTTTTCAATCTCTGTTTGAAATCACGGCGTGACCATTATGAATTAATACTGCCGATATATGCTAATTGTCGAATGATCAAGGCATTACTATTATCATTCGCTAATCATAGCAGCACGGCCCATCCTTTCAACATGATTGAGAGTGGCGCCTTTTCCCGAGAGCTGTGACCACTGATGAGAGATTGCCGACTGGGGCTTGAAAGATCCGTACCTCTGATGGCGGATGACAGAAATACGGTTGACAGCTCGCCGGTTGCCTGATCCCGGGAATATAATCTGTCTTATCCTATTCTATCTCTTTTTCCTTCTTTTTCTTCTCTTCCTCCTCTCCTCTTGCCATTAGAGAAAAGGAGGGGGGGCAGGGGAGGGCAGGGGAGAGCAGGGGAGGGACCGGTCTCTTTCTCCAGAACCTCAGTCGTTTGTCTGACAGATGGCCAATTGCTAGTTTGCTAGTCCTCTTCCAAGGTGCTCGCTTTCGCTAGGATTGCATGGGTCCTGTTTTGAGCTCAACAAACGCGTCTGTACTCCATACGTACGAGGTAATATTAATAAATGATAATAGTCCTCTGCGCGATGCACGCAGCGGCCAGCAAGGGGGTCGACTAGGGACTAGGGAGGGGGGGGCATGATATGCTTGGTCTGCACTATGTCGTATTACAGACTCCGTATTGAAAGCCCCCCCCTTCCCCCCAGAAACAAGGAGAGCAGACTGACAGCTGCAGACAGGCTGCCGGTCCCTATCCTCCCAACTTGGATCC